GTGTACTTCGACTTCTACTCTAACACTCAAAGGGACTTCGGTTAAACTTTACGCGTCAACTCACTCACTGAGAGTGATAACTAACTTAATCTCTTGGAAAATCCTCGACCCTAGGGATTAACTAAGGATAATCTATTTTTTTTTCATTGTGTTTTTACGAAATATGTATCGGGATGCTCAGAAAGTTCATAGAAAATGATGAAACATATGTTAGATTTTCTTTTTTAAATGTATTCGGTCGTCTTTAAAGCTTTTTGTGCTTTCCTTTTTAATAAAGTTTGATATGTACAATATTTATTTTATTTTATTTTTTATTTTATGTTATTCTAGTAAATTATTAATAATATACAATCCATTATTCTGCAATACTTATAAAATAAAATAAAAGATTTTATTTATGTAAGATTATGAAGAAAAAGAAAAAACTTTTTAAGGAAAACTAATACATATATTTTTCTTAAAATCTAAACTCTGACGAATGTTTTCAGACAACCAAATATACAAAAATAAAATGTCTATAATCTAATCAATGGAATTATGTTAAATTTAAAAAGGTTGTTTGATGTTTTGATAACTATAAAAGAGTAATAAATTTTGTAGTATCGTTTAAAATCATTTGGAAAACTTTTAACCCCTAATCCGTAATATATATCTTTTTCGTGATACATTTGAAATGATTTAAGTAATATATTCAGATCAGACTGAATTTTGAGTGTATATGTGTTTCTGTTTTAACAGGTGGAAGAGCATTAGGAATATCGAGTTGTGGTGTTGCTTGACAGAGTCAAGACGATAATTCAAGTCATTTTGAGAAAGTATGTAGCATCCTCGACCCAGATACCCACGCAAATTCTATATTATTCGAAATTTGCGGCTTGAATATTCACTATGGGTGATATTTTTAAGAACGAAATTTTTCCCCTTTCTAGATACAGAGAGAAAATCGAAACGAATTAGAACTAATATCTAATTTTTTTTAATTTTCTTCTTACCATGGAATGAATTTTTTTAATTTATCAAATAAAAATATATTACATTGTAATAATATTGTATATTAGATTAAAATATCAATATAGTAAATACATTGTATTTTTGTTAATATTTAAGTGTTTTTTATAAGTAAAGATTTCATCAAATATTTTTATAGAAATTTGAAAAAGATTGAAAATCACATCTCTAAAGGTATTCATTTTTTCTTTGGCAATAAGAGCAACATCAAATCAATCCCGCCTTGATATTTTTTAAACTTTATACAACTTATATTTTAATATTATTTTTTTCCGCATTTTTTATTTTCTTTATTGTAAAATATGTTTTATTCACTTTATGCTTTTTCTTATTTTTCTAGAATATGTTATCACCCAAAGAAATATATCATCCTAGGCACGTTGAAAGTTTAATTTCTGTTATTCATTATGTGTTATTTAATTGATAATTATTAATTTTTCAATAAAATAAAAACGTTAGCAAATAAAAGAAACATTCTATAACACAAATCCACTATATTTTTTCTATTATATTCCTTGTAAAATTAATATAACCTATTCTAGAAGGATAGGAAAAGGAATAAAGTGAATAAAACATACAGAAAAAAAAGAAAATTAAAAAATAAGAGATCTTCCAAGAGACATTGCGCTGCTTCTTATTACGCTGCCAATAGCTTGTATTAAATTCTAAAACAAAAGGAAATATAAGCACGTTTGCGAAAGTTCTCCCTTCATTTTCTCGGAAAAGGGTTGGATGGAGTATCACTCCTAGAATACAATATATACAGGATGAGTCAGAATTAACCAGAGACCTGAATATCTCTGTTGAATTTAAAGTTATAAACTATGTTTACATCAGAATCAAAATGGTTTTGAAGGACGAACATGGTCATCACAACATCATGCTTTTTAATGTCTTTTGTTTAGGGCGTCTTTTTAGGTCATCAACGGTTTTTTAAATGGAATTGTATTTTTTTCCCGATATATTATTATAGCCGACATTTAAGACGATTTCAACAGTGTACCATAATATGACCTTCGAACAATTTTTAACTCAAAAATAAGGAATAAATAAAATTCAGCGTGTAAGGTTTATTTTCTTTATTTATGTTATGGTTAATGTTCAAAATGATTCCTTCGAGCTGAGATACGTTTATTTAATCTCCAAGAATAAGAATCTAATGCTCATTTCAGAGAGAATCTACGTACAAGACCTCATAGTTCTTTCTTTCATGTCCTTTGCAATGGTTGGTTTTTCCCGATAAACTTTGTTTTTCAGATATTGCCACAGATAAAAATTCAAGAGGTAACGAACCTATAATATGTTGGCTAGCTCGCTCATGGGATCTTATATCCTTTGATGTTATGTGCATCCTTCGAAATCATTTTGATTCGGATGTAGACATACTTTGTAACTTTAAATCCAACAGAAATATTCAAGTGTCTGGTTACTTTTGAGTCACCCTGTAGTTAAAATGGACTTCTACAGCGGTGTAAAATTAAAAAATATAAGGGTGAGATTGTTTTGGTGTTTTTTTTGTTAGAAATACTCTGTTCTTTTGAAAAAAATGTACCTAATTATTTTAAACTTTTAACCAATAGTGTATATCTACTTATGTTTGTCTACTATATCACATATGAATATAAATATTTAAGCATATATCAGGTCTGTAAATATGAAACCGGAATTTGCTCATAGATTCCTCTAGCTGTCAATGTAGTATCGTCAAGCCGCGTAATTGGCGCTATTTCCTTCTTGACATCTCTGACAAGGATTTTCAACTCATAACAATACAAGTTTCATACAACAATATAGTTCATAATAGCGTTGAACATGTTGAATTTTATATATCTGAAAACTACGATTTGCGAACAGCATTGATTTCCCGTTACCATTTGAAGAAAACTACTGCAAAATCGCATCGAATGCTTGTCGAAGCTTACGATGAGCATGTTCTTGGTAAATCACAGTGCTTTAAGTGATTTAAAAAATTCAAAAGTGGCGATTTTGACGTGAAAAACGAAAAACGTAGAAGAACATCGAAAAAGTTTGAAGAAAGCAAATTGCAAGCATTATTGGATGAAGATGACGCTCAAATGCAACAACAATTGAATGCGTATTAATTAAATGTGACACGAGAAGCCGTCTCCATACGTTTGAGAGTCATAGAAAAGATCCAGAGGATTGGAAAATGGGTTTTCATATGAACTGAGTGAAAGACAACAAGAAAACCGGAAAACCACTTGCAAAATGATGCACGCCAAGTACAAAAGTAAGTCATTTCTCCATCGAATTGTTACTGGTTGTGAAAAGTGGATATATTCTGAGAATTCTAAACGTAAAATATCATGGGTAATTTCAGGCGAACCATTGACATCGACTGCAAGGCCAAATCGCTATGTACGGAAGACAATGTTCTGTGTTTGGTGAGTTCAGAAGGGTGTGATCTATTATGAGCTGCTAAAACCTGGTGAAATGATTAATATTGAACGATACTGACATTAAATGATCGATTTGAATCAAGCTTTATGTGAAAATGACCAAAATGTCGAACAAAGCAACACAAAGTAATTTTACTTCATGATAATGCACCATCACACACAGCAAAACTGATGAAGGAATCGATTGAGGCGTTTAGTGGGAAATACTTTCGTATGCGATTTATTCACCAGACTTGGCTCTGTCCGATTACTACTTATTTACATCAATGAGACACGCACTTGCTGAGCAGTGCTTCATTTTTTACAAAAATGTACGAAAATAACTCGATGACTGGTTTGCCTCAAAAGAGCAACAGTTTTTTTGGCGTGGTATCCATAAATTGACAAACAGGTGGGAAAAATGTATAGTTAGCGATGGCCCAATACTTCGAATAAAAACATTTTTTATCCTTTTTATACAATAAACGTGTATTTTCTATACAAAAATTCTGATTTCATATTTACATAACTGGTACACATCTACTTTTGTTAAAAATATTCTTTTTTTATTTTGGGTTAAATTATTCAATGAATAATTGATATCTTGTACCGAGAGATGATTACATGTACGATATAAAACGGCAACAGGGTCGATAAACCATTTCCAAATAGTTTTCACAATCAGTTGTTATTTAAGGGAATACGGGAGAGAGATATTCGTGTTCCATTGATTTCCTTTTCATTCATGTACACACATATGCAACGTTTACATAATGATATGGGGCTGACGAGACGAACAAGATGCGTTCATGTAAACTGTACGAGATTTAATCGGGAAACACGCGTAAATCGTTGAGATTTGTTAAGAAATCAATCAAATCCATTCCACGATTTCCTTTCGTTTCATTTAAGTAAACAGTTTTAAGTGGAAATTATTATGCTAATAATCAAATTTTTCTTTTTATATAGGATATATAAAGAAGAGTAAAACAAGTTCTTGAGAATTAATTTGATTTGAAAATAAACTTTATTTTAAAAGTTAAAAGATTAAACGAAAAAGAAATTCGAGAAGTTTTTATATTTGATTTAAGAAACTAATCATAAGAGCAGATTATAACAATAATAATACAATTTTTTTTTCCCTTGTGTGAGATACAAAGAAGCAGGGAAAAAGCTAATAGAAAATAAATTTTATTCGTAAAATAAAGTTTATTCTAAAAATTGAAAGAAAGAAAAGAAAAAGAACTTAAATGATTTTATTCTCTAAAGGTTTTCCTTAATTAATTTTGTAAAGTGAGAAAAGTAAAAGGGTTTATGTTGGGAAACCAATTACTTTCGAGGGCTAAAACAAAATTGAATCGAATTGGAAAAGAAAAGAGAACACATCGGCCGACACGTTTTGAATAATTTTCTCTCTATCTTTCTTTCTGTTATTGGATTTCGAATTCTAAAGCCATTTCTTTAGGTTAACTTTGTTCCCTTCTTAGAAGTACATTCACGTGTATCTCTAACTTACCCAATAGGATACGACATGACAGGGATTTGACAATAATTCTCTTGACACACTTTTAAATGAAATGCAAACAAACTTACCTCTTTGCCTATCATAGGCATTGATACATTCACTTGTCATGAATTGGCTAATCAAGCCTGTTTTTCCAACTCTCCTTGCTCCCAAAATGGCTACGTTATATGATATGACCTCCTTCGGTGGCATGGTATTTGTTTCTTCCGTTTCCTGTTCCGCAGGTGCCAAAGAATTCGATCGTGATCTTCTTCGTTTAAAAGAGTCCCCTCTGTTTATAACACCTGAAACAAAACAAATAATAATTTAGTTCTATTATTACTACTACTATTACTACTTATGAAATAATGTATTAATCCTACATTTCACTCATAACAGTAATATACTATTCGTCATAATGTATCACTGGTAATGTGTATGTATGTGTAATTCCGTGGATGTATGCAAGAACTTGATATGTCACAAAAGTAACTTTCAAACAATGAAATATTGATTTTCCGAGCTTGTATTGTTCTTTCTTCTGTTCCCCAATTTTTTCTTTTTATTATTATTTTTAAAACATTATTCTGTTGAAATGTCACATATCAAGTTTTTGCACGTACCTACTGAACTTTTTTTTTTACAATAAATTTTGTCGGAATACATAATTTCTTTCGTTTATTTTGGTTAATAAAATATAATAACAATAATTTAGTTTTTGTTTTGTACGATATTAAAAAGGATCGATCATACTCTTCTCTAATCAATCTTTTTCCTCTACCCTCTACCTTATTTTTCATTTTTTTTCCAGGAACTTATACTCATTGTATTACTGACAATGACTTAACGCTTAATTGACCTCCCTTCTCGTGTAACAATCCATGATAATAATGTGTAAATAGACTATAAATAACGTACCTAGAGCAAAAGATAGTACCGACCGATATCGATCGACAAAAAAGATCATATTCCTTGAAGGTCATTTGTATATGCAATTTACATGATTCAAATCTTGTTATAAAAAGTGAAGAAAAATATACGAGAAGGAAGTAGATGAATAATAGTGCGAAAAATTTCTTTTCAACTGAATCGTATAAATAAATGTTCGATTTTAAAAGAAATCTTGACTTCTGACCTTTACCCTGTCATTTTCTTCGTGCTTTATTTTTAAATGAAGCATAAAGTGCTGCTCGAGGTGTGTTAGGCGCGAAGTGGAAAATTACTTAACGATTTAAGTCAAAGTTGAATTTAAAATGAAAGAAAGAAGATGAAAGAGATAGGAGATAAAGTTTAATAAATTTGTCAAAAACTTCTTTGACGTTCCCGTCAGATGTTAGGAAAGAAATTAGGGAATAAAAAACACATGACTGTACGATCGAATATGACGATGATGTATGACTTTACACGGTTTGCTTTCTTTCGCTTTCTTTCTCTCTTACTTTCTAAGTCTATCTAAAAATAAAGTTAAACGTACGTCCAGTTTGTGGCGATATATCGACAGAACGTAAATTCGCGAACTGAATGGCGGACAGCGGCCGTGATAAATGATCATGAACGAAGGAAGGAAAGAATGAATGATACGAACGAAGTAACATGATTTCTTTTTAGATAATCATAGATTATGTTGAAAAAGAAACGAGTAGCAAGAGATGAATTGAGTAATTTCATTTTAATTTTTCTTGTTCTTTTTTTCATTTAATTTCATATAATTTTAAAGATAATTTAGTAATGTAACAACTTTTTTAGGTAGAAAATCATCGTGTCAAGTTCCTACAATGAAATTGAACACTTTGCTTTGTACATTTTTCATTGTCGATTAGTAAACGGATAAACGTTGAAGTACTGAAAATACTAGCGAGAAAGACAAAAAGAAAGTGGAGTTGAGAAGAGAAAGCTTATTGTCAAGCCGTGACTGTAAAGCTAAAACAACGAACGTCCTGTTTGGACAGAACGATTGAGAACATCGATATCCGAGTGCTCACGGCTGTCCATGAAGCAGCAGCTCTGTTCGCTGGAGCTTTGTGCTGAATCTTTGTTCCTAACGAAACGTGCACAACTACAACTTACGTATTCCACATATAACATATGTACATATATATAATATATATATGCATATAGCTAGACCGAATGAAAGCCATCGCGAATCGATTCGAATAGAAAGTTGGGAAGCTCTTCACATGAATTTCCTATGAATCCTATTTCATCATTTTGATTTTATTCCTTTAGTTTGATTCTATTGTTTTTATTTCTTTTCATTTTTTCCTTTTATGTATATTTTATTAACCCTTTGCGACTGAATATCACCCCAAAGGCGAGGCAAAATAATTTTATCTCCACTATCATTGTATATTTCTTTATTCGATGATACTTTGTTATTATTATTATTATTATTATAGTACTATATTCATATTATTTTTAGCAATTATCTATCAAATAAACAACAAATACATGGCGAAATTTTACAATTTTGACTTAAATAAATTAAACACAAAACATCCACATAAACTATATTACAATTATTGATATTATAAAGTAAATCGTTAAACCAATTTATGCAATTTTTCGTCTATTGTAACAATTATCTAGAAATTGAATTACTCCGTAAATAATCTCGCTTTACGAATAATATACATGTGCACTCCTAAATAATCATTATGTAGTTTTCCGATAAAATCTTTAAATTTTATTAAGTAGAATATATTTTATTTAATATCCATCATTTAAGTTTTCAGTAAATTTTGCTTGATATACAGAAAATATTCGATCTAATAAGAAGAATAATTAAGAAAATCTTCCATCTCAAACAGTTAATTTGATCATTATCGTGGATTCTCACATCAGACAGAGAATTATCAAGATTGATCATTACATTCTACTATCTCTCTCTCTCTCTCTCTCTCTCTCTCTCGATCTCTGATAGGGTTAATCGTATTACAGCATAATCCACCGAGGATCCATGCATGCATTCCTGTGAAACCGCTTATGTGATCGTGCCTGACCACACCGTGTACCGTTACTACTGTCTTACCACTATTACAACAAATCGAAATTACCATAATATTATCATAATGCACGTACATAGACAGCTTCGATTATTTTTTTCGTTAAGGAATATAATATTACGATGATAAACATGTATTTAAAATATACATATAGATTTGTATATGTTAATAAAAGTAACACTATATGAAAGTATAATTTATTTACATGTTCTTTCTTCGTTTTTGTTCACTCAAAGAATCCTATTATATTTGAATAATTTTCAAGATATTTATTTATTAAAAATTATACATGTTTCCATGTAAATTGCCAATAATAAAAAAGCGAAATAATAATTGTATTTAAAAACTAATATAGTGAATGTCCGCCCATCCTTAAAAATGTCGCGTTACGTGTTCGCGAATCGTTGAAATTTAGTGAGTAACAAACAAATAAAAAATAAAAAACAGAACAAAAAGGTAGAAAATTGAAAAACATTTGCTAAGCGTGAAAACGAATTGTAATTAACTACTATCACATTCGCAATACTGGTCAAAATAGAATTCATTTATATTATCATTGTTAATGCAATTACGTCGAGCGCAAATATAAATACATACATACATACATATTCTCGTAACGATCAATTCATGCGTGTAGGAAAAGTTTAAAGGTTAAAAAAATATCACACAAATGGAATTTACATTGTTTGTTTGGATTATTGCACACGAATTGTACATAAATGTTAGTAAGTAAATATGAAAATAATTTAATAGGATTACACAATGTTAAAACAATTAAATTGTAAGATATGTAAAAGTGTAGATACAGGTAAAGGTGTAACACTTTTGAATATTGAATAAGTGAAGCAAAGTTTCTATTTATAAGAGATTAAACGGTCAAACGATCGACGATGCTTGCCAAATCGTTTTCGTGCGTACTGCATAGAGCCTAACGCTTTTAAAAGATTCTACATAAGTACGCGCATATAATCAACGAAACGTATTCTTTATGCAAGTTTCGTTAATGAAGGATCGTACCAAAGAAAATCATTTAAATGAGTAATCACGATTGTTCTGTAAATATAATATACATTATATGTGTATGTGTGTTTGAAAAATATGTGACAATATTGTAGAAATTAATTCTTCGTATACAGATAAAATAAATTAGGTTATATCAATATGAATTGGTAAATGATTAATTTCTGAATTATAAGAATTTCAAGTATGATCTCTAGTAGTGTACTTTACTATTTTAATATATGTATACATATATTAAAATATTATAAAAATGAAAAGAGAAAGAGAGAAAGAGAGAAAGAAATTTAAATTATTTGAATCGCTTCGTCAGACATATTCACTATTTATCAGGTCAAATAATTTGGCCAAACATCACTCCAACGTTAATTTGAAATGTTGAAAGTGGTAGGTGGTAGCTCGTTATCGTATCCTTTAGAGCGTAACACTAACATATTCGATTATGTGAATTGAATAAATGAGAAATTGCGTATTGCTTAAGGTGGAATCGTTAATTAATAAATTTTCTAATAAGATATTTGTGCGTTAAACTTTTGTGATCTGATAAAAATATTACAATAAAAGACATTTATTATTAAAATATGTAATAATTAAAGGGCAATAGTATAATTTAATATAAAAGTAAATGTAATCCTTCGATTTTACAATTTACGAAAAGATAATTTAGTGAAAGATTAATTATAATGAATATCCTTAACTTAAAGAATAATTTCATCAATTTTATGTTAGTTTTGTGTTGTTAAATATCTTCTAATACAATTTTTCTCAAAGTTAAAATTATCAGAAATTATTTTCGATGTCTTCTTAGTTATACTATTAACAATCATGATTTTAACACATCAGTGTGCTTTTTATAACGTGTAAATTTCTTTGCATCGCATAAATTACCTAACAATACTAAATTATTTAGACGTTAAGACGCTTCAATCCAACCTAAGCTACGTGTTTAGATTCTCGATCACTTCTAAAGGTGCACTCAATTGTGTTTAATGTCCATTAAACGGTTATACGTTTGAAAGCTTTTAGGAACCGGGCATTTAATAGTCTAGGCTTAATTGTTTAATACAAAGAAGCGTATGCATATTATCGTGGGTGTGCGTACGTGGGTATGTGTTAATGAACCATCTTTTCAAATTTAGAAGTGCAATAAGTTATAATAAAATTATTTTCTAGGTGAACGTACGAAATTAATTATTTTTTTTATCACACCAAAAATAAGATTAACAGTTTTTTAATTGTTTATATATTTTAATTGCAAAAATGTATTGTTAAGGAAAAAGCGTGAA